ATTAAGTGGCAGAGCCAGGATTTGAACCCACAACTACCTGATTGTGAAGCCCGGAGACATACATTAATCCATGGCCCACCCCAAAGCCCAGGATTTAGCTCCAGGACTATTTAGAAATCATTTTAATCCTCTCCATAACAGAAAAGTATCATCAATATCTTCATCTACACTAAGACCACCAACTCTAGTACCAACTGTACCTCAATTTTACAAATAAAGAATCAAGATTAAGGAAGTCCAGAGACTTTTTCAAAGTCACCCAGCTAGTAAATGATCAAGTTAATGTAAGCTTAATCTGAACTAAAGCTAATGGCGCAAAATGAGCACTTCTTCTAAGAATGAAGGCTGGCTATAATCTTTCTCTCAGTCATGTCTCCTTGCAAGCTCCTTGCAAGCTAAGTCAGACTCCTGGCAAGCCCATGGACTATACAGTCCACGGAATTGTCTAGGCCAGAATACTGGAGTGGGTAGCCTTCCCCTTCTCAAGGGGATCTTCCCAACCCTGGGATCGAACCCAAGTCTCCAGCATTGAAGGCGGATTCTTTACCAGCTGAGCCACAGGAGAAGTCCATAATCTTTCTAGAAAATGTGTATAACTTAACAAAAAACATTTTACTCACCAAAAATAATTATTTTAAAGATGCTTTGGTTTTAATAAATTAGAAACACATTAGAATCTAATGTTGATAGATACTTGCTTGGTTCTTAAACTCAAGGACAAAATTATGTCAGTCTCTTTTGGTGTGCTTGATATAGTCTGCATCAAGAAATGTTTGCAGAATTTGTAATATCTACTTTGCAATCTGTCTAGAAAGCAGGAGATTTTGTCTGGGTCATCTGTATAACCTCTGTGCCTAAAACAAGATCGAGCATATGTCTGTGTGATAAAATGCAAAACTATAAAATGATAAAACTCTGGATGAAAATGCATTAAGCTGAAAGGAGTCTGCAAAATCTTTCTAGTCTATTCCTTTCAAAGAGGAAAAGTTAGCTGCTTAAGACCACAGAGCTGGTTGAGAGCAGAGATTCAGAAACCATCTATTTTATTAAAAATAGACCAATTTTGTTTTATAATGTACTCCTGAAAACTGAAGTAGAACGAAACTTTTTTCACATCTATTTGGTGTATATGTAATCTGCTTAATACTGTGATGATACACATGTGAGTAAGAACTGAATCATCTTTTAAATACTTTACATCCTAAATGGTGTGGCAGACATTTTTACACAATCTACCACAAGGTCGGTGAGAAAGTGAAGGCACTGACTGAGGGAAAATTGAGAGGCTTCCTGGTTTAGGTGAGGGAAAAGGAATTCAAGATAGAGGGAAACAGATTTAGCACAAGCAATGACTCTTTTCTAAAATATCATGTAATGGAGAACATCAAATAATTTAATTTAGCTATACTGTATTGACAAATGGAAACTAATATTGTGACCCAAATTAGAGCTTTAAAAAAAAATAACACTACTATTTTCACTACATCACTACATCAAAATTTACTACTGACATCACAGTACTCACTTTTTTGTTTGCTTTCAAACATGAGCAAGTTTTAAAAAAAGACTATCTTAGTCCGAAGAAATATCTACATTTTTTCAATGTTTTATTATTTAGGCATTTTTCCTTTCCAAAGTAAGGCGATGTTTCAGGGTCAAAATTGAACTAGTTCAATACTCAGTGTTGGTTTAAGGAGAAAATGTTGCATAAGGAGCCTGGGACTCCTGAACTCAAAACACTTGGGCTCCAATTCAATGAGCTAATGGGCTTAAAACAAGCCCTCAACTGGTAGTGACTATTTTTACTGTTACAGCTCTTGTTGCTAGTGTAATGAAGACCAGTGAAAACAAAGTATTTAGAACATTTTAGAAAGTATTAATTACTATTCATAAATAAACATTATGTGTTATATATAGATACTTTATGCTAGGTAAGATTATGATACAAAGGCTTACTATTATGAGCAGGCTGAAGGAGAACATTTTCTAAACCATTGCTGGTTTTGATGTATTTCTGTGTATGCTTTTGCTTCCCTGCCAAATTGCTAATTCTTTATTTCTGTCCTGCCGCCAACTTTTTCTAGTTCCAACTTTTTTGTAATTAATAATTTTTTTTTCTGTAATTAGTAACAGTAACCACATTCAACGTCTTATTGCACTGAGTTGGTTAGACTCTTTCAATTCCTATTTTTCCCATTATAAACTATTTTCAAGCCACATGATTTTTTTTTTTTTTTCCTTTTTAAAAAGAAGTTTCCTTAGGCTGAGTCTTGAGAGACATGACTTTGGCATAGCTATTTTTTCAAACAAACTAAAATAAAGTCAACCACATATTTTTAAATGAAACAGACTTTCCCCCTGACTTTCTTCAATACCTAGAGTGGGGAGTGGTAGACATTTGATTTCAGAATTTTTGGTAACCAAACATTAAATGACTTAGCATACAGAAAAGTACTGTGGATTTGACAGTAGTACTGATTTTTATCAATGTTAATGAACTACATTGTCAAAATAACTTCAACATATGATGTCTGTGTTCCCATATTTAAATTATGAGGTGGTATAACCAAATATACATAAAAATTATGGAGAACCCACAAAGAGAAATTAGTGCAAAATTCTATTATCTCTGAGGGGAATTTTTTTAACTAATCCTTTGTTGGCATGAAAAAGACCATCAAATGTATAATTTGACTGTACCATTTCCTTTCCTGCTTGAGCTACTACGTGACCTCATTCTGCTAATTGCTAATATCGAAAGCTATGAGGCACAATAACATAATGGCAAGATAATTTTAGGAGGTGACTAAAATTAAGGGTGACTAGAGTGTATTGTTATATTAAGCTTTTATAGAGCTTAACTGCTGCAAGGCCCTATTCTACACATCTTACGATATTCTAAAGAAGAAAGGGGGGCTAGCAACAAGGCAACTAAGAGCAAGGAGCAGAAAAGTGGAAAATAGAAATAGAACAATGAAAGGAATGAAGACTGAAATAATAAGGTGAAAAAAAGTACGCTGCAGTCAAGTGTTGTGAGATAGACTTAACAGTAAGACTGCTTAAAGTCTATTTGAAAAGAGTTCATAATTTGTGACTTTATTGTTTCTAAAGTCATCACAATCAAGTAGTTTAAAAGTATGTAAAGTATATGCCATCTCTGTTATTGTTCTATTGTTTTTCACTGGTTGGCTGTGAACATTTTCTGCTCCCTTGAACTATACTGCAGATCTGAATAATGCAACTTAAGTCTTATGTTACGCTCTTTTGCTATTAATCATTTATCATACTACTTACTCTTAAGAGCCACATTGCCTCTGCTTAACTCTGAGCTTTACTACACTAGTAAAAGTGAAAAGATATCTCACTTTTATTAGAGGCAGTAAATACCTCACCCCTCCGTGCCTCAGTTTCCACATATAAAAAATGGGAACAATTAATATCACCTACTGCATAAGGTTATTGCAAGGATTAAATGAGTTAATAAATGTACACTGCTTAGAAGAGTGACTGACAGTGAAGGCTATAGTCTTGTTAACAACTAGGAAAACTGCAGTGCCTGCTCCCATGGAACTTACCACCTAGAGGAGAAACATCCTTGGAGCATTTTGCTTAGAACTCAAGTAGGACACTCAAAACATGTGCTGATGGTAAGTAACCAGGAGGATACACATATTTTTAAAATAGGAGAAAACATAAAGGAACTACTTTAAGATAAACTTTTTGAAGTAAGGGAAATACGATTCTTCTTAAGGTATGGGCCTTTATTCAAAAGGTACCCATATCACTGGTCTTGAAGAAAACTCCAGTGGCCAGGCTTAGCTGGAGTAGCCCTTTATAGACTGCCCTGGAAGGAACCACTCGTGTGATCATGGACCAATTCTTAACTCATCTGGCTCTGGTTTCCTGACTTTTAAAACAAAGGAACTAGGTGATCTCTAAGGCTCTTATATTCACATATAATATTACATTAGTAAGTTTCATGAAATAAAAAAAAAAATTTCATGAATTTACCCGGAGGAGTGAAAGTCTCAAGATAGGTTTTTAAAAAATCATGAAAGGTACAAGAACACAAAGACAGCATGAAATTAAAGGACTGAAATCATGCTCACAGGGTATGAATTTACGCTTGAAGAAAATGAATATCCTTAAGTTTGGAGCTATGATGATTTGTTTACTGGACTACCAAAATATTCCATCAGTATATGTGTTACATATTCATTTTCAAAGTAGTCTCTTACAACACACATCATTAAACAATAAGGAATTAAATAACAGATGGCTTGTTTCTTAAAATACATATATTCTTTATGTAGCAAATACAATTTTCAATATTATAATTCAGTAGCAGGAAAAATTAATATCCAATTACAAAGACAAAATATATTTTATTTATGTGCATTACAAATTATGCAAAAACAACCCTCTCTAAATTAAAAGAAAAAATTAGAGGAAAAAAATTTCTAAATACTCAATGTGATACAATTTAAAAATTAGGTCCAGAACTAATTCTATACATGTTTTAAGTCACAAGGGGATAAATGTTTCCTTGAAACAATAAGCAGTTTCAAAGTTGAAAAGACAACATAGGAGAAAAAATAGTTTTAAGGGAACTGAAGGTTTCATCAGCCACATTTAACAGCAGGTTATGGTATAGCTCATAAAAAAAGAGCCACAGAGCCTAGCAATGTCTTATGTATTTTAAAAGTTAACAAAGGGAGTGAGTCTGAATTATTAAAATGCAGAGTAACTAAAAGACAGATTATTGAATGATGCTACTTAAGTTGTTGCAATGTATACCAAAGAAAAGACCTTGAAATATTTTAAAATAAATAAAAATAAATATTTTAGTAAAATAAAAATCTAACAAACATGGAAACAATTTGGAGATTAAAATTTTCATTCTTGACTATTGTATTAGATGTGATAAAGCTTACACTAGCCCCTTTAAGAATATACAAACCATACTTGTGTATCTCAGTGTTCTGTGCAGTTTACCATACCTGTGGATAGCTGTCAGTTCTTGGCAAAACTGATATGTCATAGGTGGCAGCAAAATGGCTCTTAGCTTGTTGGATCTGGCCGTAACGTTCTCTTTTTCTCCACTTGGCCCTTCGATTTTGAAACCAAACCTAGTTTTTTAAAAAAGTAGAATTTCAACTAAGGAATGGCTGGTAATGCAAATATGATGGTCAAAGACTTAAAATCAGAAAGGTAAGCCAGGTCAAGAAAATTACAAAAGCAGAAATGTTTTTATATTAGAAAGGGATCCACAAGTTTTACTTTCTATTTTATTTTACCCCGATATAAGTGCCATGTCTCCTAGGCAATATAGTTTAATAGAATGAGACAAGATGTTTTCAAAACTTTATTTAATATGTCTGAGCCTCTATTTTTTTTACTTATGGAAAATAAAAAAGAATTAGATTATATGACCTTGAAGATTCCTTATATCTCCAAATTATCATAGATACTAATCCTCTTTCAGAGAATGCAAGTCTGAAAGACACTCATAACTTTTTAATTTGGGGTTATGTATAGAACACGAACTCAGCCAATCTATAACCAAATTAATATCTAAGTCTGTCAAAACAATTATCTTTAAAACATGTCACAAAGTGAAAGCTCTTCTGGGCTGTACCCAGACTTACAAAAACTTAGAAAAATGTAAACAAACACATTACATCTAAAACATATGGCACCAGCAGAAATACAATGATTATTTAGAAGCAAACTAGTAGGATTACATGTTATATTGAGTGTGATAAAGATTATGGATAAAATGGTATCATCTGAAGCTGAACTATGGTTTCAAAATATACAAATTGTTTAGACATAAATTGTATCACTTATAAGATTTATTTTCTCCTATAGAAAATGCTCATAAAATCTTAAAGATAATTTCTCCAATTTAAAATACTTATGGATAATATAAATTTTAAAATAGGACAGATATAATCAAGTGTCAAGAAAGACTGTGTATTAGTATGGCCTCCACACAGTTACTAAGCTGTTTTCCAAATTTCTCTAATTAATTATATAGTAGAAACATCTATTCTATCATCTATCTCCCTCAGAGGGTTAAATATTAACCATTTCACACTTGTAAGATCTCCAGAATCTTCATTTTAATATTTTAGGTATTAAAAGGTTATACAAAAAATTAAATTCAACATGTATAACTTGATATATAATTGACATGAGCAGCTTTCAGAAAACTGTTTAGTCTTCAGAGAACTAGCTTCAGAATACAAAATATTTAGGAAAAAAGCTGAAAATGAATCATAAAAATGCACATTGTAAAAAAAGCATTTCACTGAAATTTATTTGAAATTTTTATTCTTTTTTGTATTCAATTCTACTCTCTTAACTCTTTTCCTTCACACTTATGGAGACATGTTAATAATATTCAGTCTGGAGTGCAAGCAAGTATTGCAAATTTAAGATGGCAGTTTGCAGAGTTCTCAGCAATCAGAAGAAGGCAGAGAGCTACCTGTTCAGATGGTTTCTCAGAGCCCTGCTGGTGAGTGTGGATTACCCACTATATTCAGGGCTTAAGACAACAGTAACAACAAAACAAAGCAAAGCACTTTTTCTCCATAGACGGGCACCAAGAGCATACTAAGGGAATTTAGTAATGAGGGCTTTTTTCTTTAGAAGGAAACCTTGACAATCACCTTAAAATAGGTGCCATTACCACTCTTATGCAAAAAGCAAGGAAACTACCTGAGTAAATTAGGTTCAGGCTGACTCTCTGGGTGTATTCTTAGACCAAACTTAACCAGGACTTGGTGAAATGTTTAAGGGGAAAACAGACTTTGTGCACAGCTGATCAACTATATGTAAACATATTTTTCTATGGTTGTGAGTATAACTAATTTAAATACATGAACACAAGACCAAAAAACACACAGGTGGGGTTTGTGTTAAGGCTTGACAATTCTCCATATTTACTTCCTGAACTAAGATAAAATAACCATTTGTCTCTATAAACTAAAGCAAAAATCTGCTGCTTGTTATTCGTGCACCACCAGATGTTGTCTTTAACAATGTATAAGAGACTTACAATGGCTCAGTCTTCAGAAGGAATACTATTACTCCACTCAGAACAAAAATTTATTTCTTTATTCTAGTGGTTTATGGAAATTGCAAAATTCAGTATTATTTTTTTTAGAGTCATAAAAACACACGAAACGAAAAGGTCATTCTGAATTACTCTTACTTGGGAACTAATGAAATAGTTTAAAAATATGAAGGCTAGGAAAAATAAAATACGCTTAAGAATTTTACCCAGTATTTTTAATTTTGTTTTTTCAAATTATTAAAAAATGTAGTATACTGAATTATCTAATTTGATAATTTGAACACAATTTTAGATATAACTTAATTGAATTTATACTTTTAAAAGTTACTTTTAAGACTATTATTCCTACTGCTTCTGAAAAAATCATGTAAGTTATCCAGATTTTACAAATTACAATGGAAAGGCATGTATTGACAATTGCTGGGATTAGAAAATTATAGATGTGCTTATACAACATTTCTTTAATTATATATAGTGAATATAGTTTACGGTATACCTAACAACTGAGTTTGTGAGACTGTCATTTTTTTCCTTTGTTTTATTATAACTCCAACCTTGGTAAAATTATAGATGCTTATGGGCCACTACACAAATAACTTACAAATCTAAGGTATATAACCACAAAAAGAGCTTCGACAGCTGATACAATAGAAAAATAAAATACATGAATTACTAAATTGGAGAGCTATGGTTCTGGGCTTTTGTCGTTTAAAGATCACTTTTTGAAATCAGATATTTGTTATCATATTCTGTTCTTCAAAAATAAGCATTCGCTTTTATGCCTAAGTAATAAGTCAAGTTCTTTTCTCTTAGGCTTGTGTGTGAGTTGTTAAATCGTTTGCAATTAAAATGTAATTTTAGCAGACTTACATGCCTCTGCTACGCTGTTCTCTATCTTCAGCAGGAGAATCAGTTTCTGCCTTTGTGGTAAAACTTTGGAATAAACTTTGTGGTAAAACTCTGTGGCAACCCTGGAATCATTCTAACACTACCCCCAACCACCTCCCCACTGCAAACACACATAGCCTCCAGCCTTCGTGGGCTCCTACCTGGACCCTGGCCTCAGTCAGCTCTGTCCTCAGAGCAAGCTGCTCTCTGACATACACATCCGGGTAATGGGTCTTCTGAAAGACCTTTTCCAGCTCCTCCAGCTGCAGGCTGGTGAAGGTGGTTCGGTGTCTCCGCTTCTTGCTGCTGGATACGTTGCTGTCACATTTATCCCCAAGTTCGTCCAGTTCTCCCTTCTCTGGAATCCCTTTCACAGGAGACAACCGGAGACTGGCACAGTTGTCCATAGCTCTGTTTAGTTCAGTGTGAAGAGGCTGTCCTTCTACTTTAGTGATCCCATAGTTCACTGCACCCAGAGGGGGGAAAAACAGTTCTCAGGATTGCAAAACACCTTGATGAAAGAATTAAGTTGAAGTGGTACAGAGCATCAGGCAGGGAGTCTGTTACGATTTATCCTGCCGGCATTGATTTGATCATCATATTATCTACTATTGGGCTTCCCTGGTAGCTCAGCTGGGAAAGAATCTGCCTGCAATGTGGGAAACCTGGGTTCGATCCCTGGGTTGGGAAGATCCCCTGGAGACAAGAACGACTACCCACTCCAGCATTCTTGCCTGGAGAATTCCACAGACTGCACAGTCCATGCAATCCAAAAGATTCAAACAGGACTGAGTGACTTTCACTTTATCTATTATTATTAATTCACTTTGGGCAGGTTTAGAATCATCTAAAAATGTGTACACGGAACTTCTATAATTTGCCAGCATCACATATAGCTCTGTTTTTCAGGATTAATGTAATATTTATCCACATAATTTATAATCAAAGTAATCATATTAAAAGATTCCCTGGTTTAAAAAAAAACCTAAATGACCATAATTTTTTAAAAGTGAGCCGAATTTCATATGTCTTATTTATTCACAGCAGACAAAAGTAAGCTACTAACAGGGCTCAAAAAGGACATTTCAATTTTAAATACTGTCTGTAAACCAAAATCCATACTCTTCTCAAAGTTATGTTTCTCCTTCACACAAAACCTATGGACTACAGATTTAAGAAATGGCATTGTTTCTACTATATTCCAATATTTCAACTGCATATCATGTCCACATTTAACATTTTAATTTCAAAAAGTGACCTACTAAGTTAAAAAAAGAATTTTCCTCAGTTTCTAAAAGTGTTTTTACAGAAAAGGATAAGATTTAAGTAGACTTCTTTAGCTGCAGTTATCTAAATATGTCAAATTTATGCGTCACTCTTTTAAAACATGAAACTGTCTTAAGATAGAAAGCTTCACTCTTCCTTTCAATAAAGCACAAAATTTAAAACATCTATTAGAAGATTACAAAGAATATCATCCAGCATTCTGTTTAGGGGTGTTTTAATTTCAGTGATTTCCTCCAGATTCGATTGTGCCCCACACACAAATGTAATGGATACACATAACGAAATAGGAAACATTTTTTTAAGTCGGCTCAGCCATAACAACGATTTCCAATGAACTGTTAGACTTTTTTCGTTTTTGTCTATTTTAAAATTTTCTTACAATGTGTTTTTAGAACTGCTTTACTTTAGTCCTTATACAAATGTATTGAACTCTAGTACCTAGGTAAATCAAATACCCAATAGCCTTTAGGCAAAAAAAGATGTGATGTAAAACTAAATATAAAGGAGAGCCTTGACTGATTAACAAACAATACAGTTTTGTCTCCATGGGCAGAGCTAATGGGGAACTGCGGTAATTAGCGATGGGGGAGGGGAAACAGGCGTGAGGGTAAGGGCATCTCAGGAAAAAGGCAGGAACTTGCCTAAATTTAGCGGACTGCTTGTTGCCTACATTCACCTTACTTAAAACTTTCCTATCAAAATCCATCCTAACAGTGTGATGTTCTTTTAAACTTTATAAAAGTATCAAAAATCACCTATTTCTCTTATTTTTGGAATCCCGACAATTTAAATAAAATATTATGATTCTTATTCAGCAGTCAACAGAGGACATTTCAGAACCATTTAAAAACAAATCCTGTCCATGGAAATAACTTTATGGATTCACTTTAAAATTACAAAATATAAATCCTGAAATCTGAAATATAGACAGAAAGTCAAAACTTTCGTATATTAAAATAAAATTATTTTTTCGCATCTTTCTAAATAAATGAGACTTGGATTTTTCTGTTTGTTCCTTTATTTTTTATTTAACCTTGCAAGTCAAAAGTAACTTGCAACGTTGAACAAAATGAGGCCTTTTTTTAAATAAAAGGCTACTGCGTACTAAGTATTTAGAAGAGGAGCTACTATGAGCCAGTGGCTCGCCAGATTGTGAACCTCCATTAAAATAGGGGGCGGGAGGCTTGTTGTAAATATTTCACACTTAATTCGTTTGTTATTTTAAAGCAACCCGCTCCTTACAGCTTAACTGTGGAATATATACAATGATAAGGAAAAGTCCTCTTGGAATTGTAAACTTGCTTTAGCTGTCGCTATCTGAAAAAAATAGGTTTGTATTGGGTTACAAGATAGAAAAGATAGATGGTTTGTTTTGATAACATTTTGACTTTGAGATACTTGGCCATCCAAAGTGGAAGATTTCACCCAGAAGCATTCCGAAAGGCTTCTTAGAGGCGACTTCTACCGTGGAGACAGAAAAATCAGACAATGCGGAATTCGCGAGTGAGTGATTATATTCGGGATTCTTTGCCCGAAGCTATGTAAAGTGATTTGGCGTTGAACAAACATTTTGCTGTTGTATAGCAAACCCAAAGAAGCAAAAATCACAAATCCACAGAAACTCATCTAGTAAGCTTCTAACTTCACAAAGAAAGATATCGTTACGTCTTGAAAAATTTTAAAAAACCAAAACAAGATTTTTCACCTAAGTTTTCTTGTTCGTGACGGCAGTGACGTCCTCTAACGAGCTGTGATGGATTTCAGCTCCCCCGGCCCGGGGCAGCGCGGCGGGCTCGCAGAGGAAGCGCGCTGTCTCGACTCAATTACGCTCTGCTTAGCGCCCTATCAGTTTACGCCCGGGTCCTGGGTAGCGGGACTCCAGGGCCCGTCAGGGACGCGACTCGGCAGCAAAAGAAGAACCGCGAGGATGCACCCCGGGGGCGCGGGCTCCTTCCTTGGCTCCCGCTCCCCCCATCCCCGAAAGTCTGCAGCAGCCCCAACTCCGCTTCCTAAAACCAGCACGGTTCCACCGCCTTCCTCCGCCCTCCAGCTCTCCCGCTCCCCCTTCCTTTCCTTCCTTCTTTCCTTCCTGTTTTCCTTCCTTCCCTCCGTCCTTCCCTCCCTCCCGGTCCCGACCGGTCCCCGCCCTCGGATCTGCGGGTGGGCTTCCGCGACCCCCCTGGAGCAGGGGACTCACCGCTGCTGTCCAGACTGGGCGAGGTCCTGTCGAGGCGCACGTGATGCTCGGCGCGGGGCAGGGGCCCGAAGGCCTGCACGCATTTGCCCGCCGACGCTTTGCTGTAAAAGGACTCATTGTCCAGCGTCTCCATAACGTGCTCCAACGCGCCTCCTGCGCCCATGTAAAAATCACTGTTTTTACTCGGTGGGCTCTTGAGGGCAAACTTCTCGCTCAGAAACTCCATAATCCTGGAAGGCTGTCGCAGAGCTCCCCGGAGCTCGGGGGGCTGGAGCGCGCTGGGGGAGGGAGCGAGTGGGCGGGAGGAGGAGGGCCGGAGAGGAGGGAAGGGGAAGCGAGCGCTGCGCCGACTGGAGCTTCCCAGCCCCGAGCCTTTTAAGACGTCCCGGCTGGAAAGGGGGCACCCGAAGTTGCTTTTATATCTTGAAACTCAGCTGGGCTCCTCGGGCAACCTCCCAGTTCTAATGAATATGAAAATAGGCAGGCGACTAAACTCCACCCCGGGCCCCCCAAGGCCTAGGTTAGACAGACAGCTCCATTTCAAACAAATGCCAGCAGGGACGAGGCCACGACACTCAGAAACATTGTCGCCGCGACAGTGGACTGGCATTTCGGAAGAGCTTGGTGAGATCGCGAGGCAGTTAACCTTCCACTCCCCGCTCTCTGCGCCCTCCGGGGCCACCCGCCCGGCACCGGGTCCCCACCCCGCCCCCACGCCGGCCACTCACTACCAGAAAGATTTAGAGGCGTCTTAAGAACTTGAAAGGAAGTAATGCTCTAAGGGGCTTTTATTTCATCCGTAAATCGTTTATGTGGAAGATCCACATTAATCCGAAGCCCAAGAAGCCGGATACGTGGGCAGCTATTAACTGGGCTGGCCGTGGTCGAGGGGCTGCTGCTTCTTCCAATCCCGAGGAGTTCGGCGTCCGGGCGCTCTCGGCGCTTACGAACCCGTGGCCTTTCCTTTCTTTCTGGAATGCGGCGGCGTGTGGATGTGGTGGCAATGGGAGAGGGAAGCCGAGCAAGGCATTGAAAGCATTATACCAATATCAACCTCATTTCTCCACCCTCTCCCACCCTCCCCTTGGTTCACGATTTTATCATTAGATCCAGATTATTTTAAGAAACCTCGATAGGAAAAGTGCCTCCTAAGCGTCCTTACTATAGGCCAGAGGGGTTACACAAAGGGGTTTATGAAAGAGGAAGGCCTTCATCGTGGTTTTTAAAAGATGATTACTTTACTTTTAAGGAGTCGTAGTGGAGTTTGGAAAAGCGCGTACGGGGAGCGACGGGCGCGCGCGGAGCTGGGCGCACTGGCGAGGCGGCGTCCCGGCGCGGGCTGGGCCGGGGCTTCGGCTCCCGCCCGAGGGGATGGGAGGAGGTTGGGGAGCTGGCGGCTCTCTGAGGGCAGAGCAGCGCTTCGGGGTGGAAAGCCCCTCTGTGAGGCTTTAGAACTGTCTTTGGTATCGGAGGATCCCGCCGCGTCGGAGGGAAAAGCGTTCAGTGCCTTGGGCAAGAAAAGGCCGCCATTAGCAACAGGCCTTTTAAACTGGCAAATTTGGTGAAAACGCCCACAAGTTGGGCATTGAGGGTTGCGCCCTCCACGAGAGGCCTCCGCCCGACAGCCTTTCTCATACAGGCCCTAGCCGCGCCGATGGCGTCTCCCCAGCCCAGCGGGGCAGTAGCCCCGCAGATTTGGGCACGCCGGGCACCCCCGACCCTGGCGTGGCGAGGCCAAGCCCAATTCTGGCGAGCCTCCGGAGGGGCTCGGGAATCTCCATGTTCCTCAAGGTCTGGGCTGACCTAGGACTCACTGGAGACCCTCTTCGAGGCCACAGTGTGCCGCAGCCGGGCAAGAACAATGATGGAGCGCTCCGCATCTCAGACTTGCGCCTCAACACTGCTCTAGAAGCGCGGCCGGTCTTCAACCCAGATCGGGACGAGTGGAACCTCAGCAGGCGGCCCGGAGCCGCGGCCTCGCTCTCTCGGGACGCTTCTCCGGAGCAGGGGCACGAGATCGGTTAGTTCACGTGGCGCCGCGCCCGGCCTGGCCTTGAGCGCGCACTCGGGTTCCTGCGAGTTGACACTATTCCTAAACGATAGCACTTTGCCTGTATTATTACTACCATCTCCAAAGTCAGGCAGTCGGCACCAACCACTAATTGTTAAATCTCCAAGGGGCGCAGTCAAAGAAAAGCTTTCAGGGACTGCGGTGAGGGAGAATACCAGATTGTACCAAGGCGCACGAACTCCTAGCCTGGCATCCAGGGATGGGAGGAGGGGAAGAATGTGCAGGGGAAGCTAGCCAGAAGGTACCCTGGAACATCCTGTCCTTGCTTAAGGCGGAGAAGCAGGCTATGCGCTTCCTTAGCTCCTGCTAGCGGATCCTGGACCGTCCCTGTAGGAACGTTGGATGTAATCTACTCAGTCTTATGCGGGTTAAGGATTTTTTTATTCTCTCCTAGCCCCTTCTGTACCTTACCTTCAGATGTTCTTAAAGTACTTTCTCTAATAGACACGGGGAGGGTAAAAGAAATGGTCGTTTAATAGGTTTTTCAGAAATTCACAGCAGCAAGAACAACGCCTTGCTGATTTGAGGAAATATACAAACAACTCCTAGCTATAAACTTAGTTACATTGTAGAGCTCTGTCAGCTTGTTTATAAATATGCGTCTTAAGAGCCCTAAATTCCCTGAAAAACATTCGGTGTCTCTTAAATGAAAGACATATGATGCAAGCTCTAGAGTACTTGTAAACCAATAAAGGTCCAGCTCGCAGAGTAAACTGCAGGAGAGCCAGGGTCGACAGCTGCATAGGAGACCTGTTTCCACCCCACACCTCAATCAACCCCACTTTTGATGGTAGTGGTTGGCGGGATGGGTGCAAGGTGTCACCAACCCCACTTAATATCCCTGAAGCCTCTTGGAAATGCAAATCTATTATACAGAATCCCGTATGTTTGGGGACATGTAACCACATGTGCCCAAAACAGAGGGAACAGCTAATGACAAACTCCCATAACGAATGCTTAATCTGTAGTTTTTGGCAAGAAACTGGGTCTCTGGTTGCCAAGAGCTGGGTTAAATGGATTCTGAGAGGTTGAGATGCAGTTTATGGTCATGTCACAGCTCTAACCATTGGAGCATTAGATAATAAAATTAAAATATACTAATTAAAACAGCAATAATTAAATGATTTCTGGAAATCATAAGAAGGGAGAAAAAACTGGAAGCTGATTGGGTTGGAGTCTGCCTCATCCCCCCTTACATCTACCTGGTGCTTTGAAGATAACCTTAGAAATTGACCATAGCACTTTGATAAATACTTGGAACTAGGAACTACTCTATTCAGAGCAGACATTGAACTTTCCTCTTCAACAGTCTTTAAAAACCTGCTTCTAATCCACATTCCTTATCCCAACCCTCCCCAATTCCAACTAGTCAGCACGGCTAGGGCTCCAGGGGCCAGTACTTAAGGAACCATGGCTGGCAAGAGAGACTCGGTTTATTAAACCACATTCTCACTGGGATTTTATCTCAGCACCCTCAGTCATCATTCTCAGGCTACCATTCCCTTCTTTCCTCCACCTTTCTATTTTGCCTTGTGGAGAACTGTTCATCACTTTCCATACCTGGAACCTGGGTTCCAAATCCAGGATTCAGCTCCCCATCTTTCATATTAGTCAAGAAATCTACCTGGCTGAAAGCACTTGAAGGAGGTGGTGGGAATGGGGTAAAGTGGAGTAGGAGAGGGGATGTGGGAGTAGGAGACAGAGGTGGGGAGACATCAATTTCTTTTAAATCCTAACAAAATGTATGACGTTGTAGGATGCCAGGGCTTTCAGATCCCTGGATATAGCTACTGATGCTGCTGCTTCACATCTCTTTGATAAGACTGAGGCACAATAAGTCAGGATGGAATGTGCAGAGTCTGGAAAGGAAAAGGATGAGGTTAACATGACTTGCTGCAGGTTCCATCTTTGCAACACTGTTTTCTTATTCCTCTGGCACCAAGGATGCTAACACAGTGGGAAGGCTATTCTGTGAAGTGACTCTGATGTTCTGATTTGAAGTTACATTTAACATTTTTGCAACCAGTTTGCGGTTGTTGCTGCTGTTGTTAGGTGCCAGCTCCCCAAACACAGTGATTTGGGGTGTGTTTAAAGTCTTCTTTATTTAGCTCCTTTTAGAGCCTAGACTTAAAGTAACTAAGTAAACTCAAACTAGTTAAAAAGTCTATTGAAATGACTGGCCCCAACCCCCATTGCCCCACACACAAAGGTAATTCAGCTAAGTCAAGTTCAGATAAGGGATTGGCTGCCAGTTTGACTTATTGCATTTTAAAAAATTCTCACGGTCTGAAAGCTTCTTTTGATGCTCCCCTCTCCCATGAGAATGTATTTTGGGAAATGAAAAATATTTTGAGTACATGCATCAAAGCAGCAGTTGAAGCAATGTGTATACCACTATGGTTCCTTTCTCAACTTATTGAGAGAAATATCACACTTATATGGTAATAGTGGGAATGTCAAGCTAGGGTTGCAAGAATTCTCAGCCCTTTCCTTTTTTCAGCAAGAGTTTGAGGCATATTGGTAAGTAAAGCTAGAAAAAATGCGTGCTGAATTAGATGAACTATGACAAATGTAGAAAAGCAAAAGTCTGCAGAGGGGAGGGGAAGCTGGGTAGAGGGAAAACTCTCATGAAAAAGTACAAAAATAATTGAATGTCATGTATGATGGCAAGAAGCCAGGTGGCCTCATGTTTTGTGTGTGCTCCGCTGCTTTCCTTCCCTGGCTTCATCTTCATCCTTCCCACAGCTCTACAGACATAACAGATACAGAAATGTATTTTGCATTGAAGCAGTTCAAGTTTTCATCAAAATAATGTATATATACAAACCCAAAGAAACATTTAAGCTTTTTTAAAAAATATATGTTCCAATCCAGCATCAGCTACTCTGGAAAGCACTCCTACAGATTAATGTATAACTTTGTCATATTTTTGAAGCCTCTGTATTTTAATTTAAAAAAAACAACAGTGGCCTGAATTTTAATGATCCCTATCACAGTCTTTGAAGTGTGCTCTTAATGAAGCTCTCAAATAGGTTAAATTTACCTGTGATTTCAATTATAGTAAATATTTTGGTATTTTAGAAATCCATATGCTTTTTCAAAGACCTATGCTTGTTTCTGAATTTCAACTTGTTTCAGTGATAGTTACTTACACAGTTGCCCTTTTCTTAAAGAGAGAAATGGACTTAATTTCTGCTCTTCTAAAGGATCTAATTTAAATGTGAAAGTCTAAGATGACTGTTTTCCCCACTTGCAAATATTTTGACTTATCTAACATGTCATCGCTTACATTTACTATAGAAATGTATTTTATTGCAAATATTGAAAAATCATCATTCAACTGTGATAATCTACCTTTATTTCTCATTATGACTTTC